TGCGTTGTTAACCGCGACGTACTGACATGAAAAAGCACGCCAGATTCGTGGTCCTTGAAAAGCTGGGTGAGGATGATGTGCGCTGTGATTCTAGCTTCCAAGTGCGGCAGTTGAGGCTGAACGACATGTATCTCGACTGGTGGCCCTTGGATCACGTAGTCTCTCCAAGCAAGGATGAGTTGAGTCGATCCCTCCAGACGGTGACGTCATCAAAAAGCGTGACTCTTCTGGCAAAGAGACAACATCGAAAGCCATCTCCTGGGCAAAGGAACCAAGCAAGGAAGTGTGCCGCTGGAGTCTCTCCTTGCCAAGCAAAAGCTCCTGTTTGCCATACAGAAAACACATCTTGCACGTCTTCTGGTGGTTGTGTGTCCAGAAGTTAGGCAGATTGGGATGAAATGCCGGCGCATTGGGATTGAGTTGACCCGGTGCAAAATGGCCGCATTCAGTGTCTCTGCTTGCAAAGTCAATAGCATGGCTTCTTGCCCCACTCGCGGGCTGCTGCATCAGGTCAAGATGGTCATTTTCTTGTTGATGCCGGACTACATCTTGCAGTCGAATGACGATGTTGACAGCTGCCTCAATATGCTCAAAGTCAAAGATGGCCATAGGAAAGTCGCTAACTGTAATACGGCAAATTGTGGTGCGACGGTGCGACAGGCAGTTGTAAGCTCTGTGAGTCGGAGAATGCTTGTCGGATTCTGCAAGGCTGGTGGAGAGCAATCTCAGTGGCTCCAGTGTTCATCAGAATAGTACCTACCGTCTTGTATGCTCGTAAGACATGCAACATGGCCTGGACATTCTGCTTGTTCAATGACGCTGTGCGCTTGTGGCTACATGGTGGAGTCGGATTGGCCACATGTAATGAAAATGGGGTCTCTGTCCAGCTCATCAGACCGGGGAGCAGCAATGTCCTCGATCCACGACGTAGGATCGTCATTGAGTCGGACTGGTCGCCCATCGTAGCATCTAGGTCTTTGTCTGTGGTGTATGTGCCAGACGATGACATACATGATGCGCCCTTTTTCCTCACACGCGATCAAATCAGCAGAATCTCGGATTCTGATGTGTCCATCGGCAAAATGACCTCTACGTCCGGGACCAGTTGGAGTTTGCGGCAGCCCCGGTGTGAGGCGGTCCAACCACTGTCACATGGGTTTGCCACTCTTCTGGTTCGATCTGGCGAAGGGAAAGTTGACGCTGTCGGCAATCCGCAGCAACGGAGTCACGATCCGGTTTCTCTTTGGCAGCAATGTCTCTCGCGATGGCAATCGCAACTTCAGTGTCGAGAGCTGGATCAAGTGGTGGAGGGATCGATGGGCCATATCATAGACTCTTGCATCACCAGCTGTTGGCCTTGAAGACTACGCATCGATCATGCTGAAGTTGGCAGTACTCGTATAAATCTGTCAAGATAAGAAGTTGATCACGATGAAGAAAGGGACCTCCAGGACCTTTCGACTCGAAGCAGCCGGAACGAGAAGACTTCCTCTGAGCAGGTGGAAGTGAATTTCCAGGTCCAAGACTCCAAGAGGATGTCTGCGCAGGATGACTACTTCTTCAGCTTCCGCATGAACTCCAGTAGGACTTGCCGGAACGTAGTGAAAGCGGTGCACCTGACTTTGTTCGTGACTTTTTTGAGATTCAGATCCACGTTGTGAATCCTGATCCTGATCCTTACCGAGGCTATCTTCACCGCCCCATTCATTCTGATGTCATCATTTCGCAAGGCCATTGGCCACAGCGTTTCTCATCCTTGACTACGATTCATCATCAACATCGACAGTACCATCCCTACTCCTACGCGACTGCTTGTTCCTTACCAAGACGCATTGGAGGTGTCCTTCCTGCTGCGGCGACGGAAGTTCTACAGTGGTGTAATCAGCCAAGTGTGGGTGAACTGCCGGGTCAGCCACCGGTGGCAAATACTGCCGTTCACCAATGGACCTTGTGCAGGAAGTGCAACGAGGGCATGATTTCACCATCACAGTCTTGAGTCTTGGACGCTCCCTCAGCTGCAGCAGAGTACAAACCGGCTACTGCACAGCCAGCTGGTCAGCCTCAGCAGAGTGGAAGGACAAACAAAGTATTACATGCAACTTGAAGAGCATCAACCAACCCAAGATGATCACAATGAACCTTCACAAGATCCCATTGATGAAGGCTATGAAAGCAGCAGTCATCAGTATTTTGATTTACCGCTTGGCAGCTCTGGATGCACATTGCTTTGCGCCCAGCTCTACATACATGGCAATCCTGGCAGAGGTTATTCGAGCATGCCAAGTTCGTCGATCAGGGATCTCATCAGGGTCTGCTTCTTGTCCATGGTCTCGTTGAGTACCTTGTGTTCCTTCAGGTAATGGCTGGTGCCAAGCATCGGTGATGCCAAGCATCGGTGATGCGAGGAAGAGCAGGGAAAGTCGGATCGACGCGGCCGAAAACGACAGCGGTTCCTGATCGTTCCGATTCATCTTGTATGGTTTGTAGCAATCTCTGTCATGATCATGTTGCCAAGTGTCAGGGCTGAAAAACATTCCCTATGGCTTGCATTCAGCTTGGCAAAGATCAGCATGTTGAATGGTAGAAGAGCACATGCGCAAGTCATCCTCGTCACCCAAGAAAACTTCAATCTCATCACTGAAACTGAGGCTCTTGCAAATTTGTTTCTGTCGCCAGGATTGTCCTTTGGATTTTGAGCCAGTTCAAAGGAAAGGTCTAGAGCACGTGAAGAAGCTTCCCAAGGTGGTACAAAATCTGGTTCTGAAACATTTGAATGCCTCCAACCCACATTGTAGTCCACAGGTCATCCACTGTGAGCCTTGCCAAAAGGCAGCATAGATGGCGGCACAGAGGGCTTTAAGCCCATGGGTTCTGCCTCCAGCGTCTCGTGCTTGCGCTGTCTCTTTTTCTGTCGCTCTCCGGCAGCAGCATGTTCTTGATCTGCCTGCTGAAGAAAGGTTCGCCTAGGGACTCCGTCAGATGTTGCAAACCATCTTCGATGGGGCTCCCTGTGCTCATGATAGTGTTGTCCATCATCGCTGGATCGCCTTCCGCATCTATGGTGATGACTCCTCTTTCTTGAAGATCTCGGAAGATGGCCTGTGCGTTCTTGACCGCATCTCTGGCTTGACTGATTTGTTCGAGATTGTGTCGTTCTTGACTTTGGAATTGTTGAGTATATTCTTGCCACCTCAGTCCGGATAGGTGCAGAAATTGTATCCACAAGCCACAAGGCCAAGTTCTGTCCACGAGCAAAGCACGCTTGTTCGAATCTCTGCTGAGCGCTTCTCCAAGATTTTCTACTGCATCGTGCATACCTTGGATCTTCTGCAATTCATCTGTGACTTTGTTGTCTTTCATCACAGCTGCCACTTCTTCTGGGAGCCCGGTCCCGTATTTCTTGAGAACTCCCATGACCGCCTTGAGTTTTGCCTCCGCAGGGGATGGTGTAGATGGTGGTACCTCGGGCAAAGGTCCACCATTCATCGGAAATGGAGTGGCAAGCTGCATCCGAGAAGTGTCGGTCGGACTGAAAGATGTCGGAATGGCAGGTGGCGGCAGTGGTGCCATTCCATCTTGTCCCGTCTGTCCAAGACTGGTGGGCACATGTTGTCCTTCTTGATTCTGCCCTTTCTGACCATTGCCTTTCCCTTTGCCACCTTGTCCTTTCCCTTTGCGTGGTTCATGTTGATGTCGAGATCTGGGGCGTTGTTGACGTCTCCTCGGACTCGAGCTCGGTGTGTTCTGGTGGTGCCTCCTTCCCAATGCGAGCCTCCTTGAGTGTAGCTTCTGTAAGTGGAATGTCTGCTTGGCCTGGCATCAATGTCCGTTTCGGCGCAGGTGTCATGGCTTCTTGATAGGCACGATCCACGCACTCTTCCCAGTATTGCCCACAAGCTGGGCACGCTTCCAGGCGGGTTTCTTCTGAGAACTTGCGAATGGTGTTGGTTGGGGGTGCACCAGTGTCGATTCAAACCTTCGTAGTCCAAAATATTCAGTTCCTGATTGTGAAGATGGAAACGAAGTCTGGCTCGAGCTCTTGCCCTGAGTCCTGCTCTGCGCTGTGAAGGTGTAATTGTCTTTGACAGAGATCAAAATAAAGAGCAGGTAGACCAGCAAGGTAGAACACATACACAAGGGCCTTGGAGATGTCAAAGCGACGCAGGCTACCAGGGCAATGCCAGTTCAGTAGGTGCGGAGCTCTTTAGAGAGTACCCGGGGAATTTATACAGGGCCGGGACCCCAGATCAAGAAGATGCGCGAGCAGCAAAGAATGCAAGGCAGTTGCAGTGGCGCAGCAGCCAAGCAGCGATGCCCGTGGGATTGCTCACGCGGTCCCACTTAGGTCAACAGCCGCGGGTCCCTTGGTGAACTAGACCACCGCTTCAGCCGAAACCTTACAATATATATATATATATAATATATAATAAATGAATAAATGAATAAATGAATAAATGAAGAAATAAATAAATAGATAAATAAATAAATAAATAGATAAATAAATAGATAAATAAATAATCAGTAATATTTTTTGAGTTGTGATGATGCCAGAGATGAAAAGCGGGAATCCATTTTCCTGAGTCACGTGTATTTTATATTTTTTCATAGTTTGCGATGTATTTTGGAGCACGGTCGTAGAATCCAGACGCATATGGTTACAATTTTGAACCATCATTGTTTCTGATGTTCACAAAGTTTGGCTCCCATTGTTTGAAGTGTAGGTAGCTGGTTTAATCTTTGGCAGATTTGATGTACCGAAAATAGAGACGCTTGACTGGGCATCGAAGATTTGCCATTCATATGGAGTTCTCAAAGAAAGTCTGGAATGTTAAAGAGAAGTGACATCACCGCCTCTGGACACTTCCATCAGGTCACGAAATTTGATGTTTCAATCGTGCCCTTTTGGGTAGAAATCGAGGGGCTGGTGAATGCCAGCTTAGCATGTAAATGTATGTCAAATAATAACTATTTTCATCAAACAGGAAGATTTGCCCTCGCAGGTGAAGCAGATCCATAACAACGCACCACCAACCATGCTGATCCGTCGACCTTCGCCGCTGGGTGAGACCAAATGCAACCGTCAGGTGAAAGGACATACCCCTTGGTTTCTTATTGGATTTATTGGTTCTTGGGCTGATTTTTCCCCAGAACTCCGTGAAATATAGAAATAAGTAGCTCAATTTTTTTTTTTGGGGGGTTGGGCAAGGTATCTAAACTTTCCAAAATATATATGCCGCGGCTTTCCAGTTCAGGAATTCGTCAGAGCGCTCGTGCAGCTCCCAATTGAAAGCCCCACCGCGGACATCGAGATCCGCTAGAAGTCAAAAGTCACCAGAGGGAGGAGATGCTTGGCTGCATGGTTTGCACCGACATGCAACAGCTGGCTGATTTGACACAGTTCTGGATTATAGACGGTGAGAAGGGGCATGGGGCGCGGGTGTGGGTGGGGGTGGGGGTGAGGGTTCCAACATCATGCAACAGCTATTTCCACCGTTTGCTTGTGCCTTGACCTACCTTCATGGTCGCTGATCGTCGCAGCCGCTTAGACCACCAGTCGTTGACAAATGTCACATGAGTGTGGTATTTTGAGCATCACCAATGCAAGATGGTTGTTGGCATCGATGTCGTGATTCCCCTTCTTTGGGCCGGAGTGGGGGCGATGTTCATTCATGATCATTCATATTCCAAAATTGAGTTGAGGGAAAATCGACTGGGAGCCCTTGTGTTTGGTGAAGGCCACTGCTTTCCTTTTTCATCTTCTCATATCAGCGCCTGGGACAGCCATCACCACCAGCTGAGGTGCAGAATATCTACTCTCCAAGTCAGAGCTTGGCCATCCAAGCTTTGCACATGGACATGCCACATCCTTTGCTCCTCAACAAGGCTAGCAAAGCACCGGTGACCAAGGGCCACTCCGGCCCTCCCGCTATGCCCAGCTTGGTGCTGGTAGGCCACGATTGCAAGCGCGAGAAAAAGACGCTCATCATGGCAATGGTGGGGTGCAACTGGAGAATCATTATGCCAGGGCGTAGTATGACTGGTTAGCAAGCATAGGTTAGCAAGCATAGTTGAATCTCATTTCTATATAGCATGACCACTCTTGGGGATACTTAAGGGGACTTACCAAGCAGAGGTATTGGCCAATTACATCCAATTACTGTACTAAATGGGATGATTCCTCAAGTGGGGCCTTCCAAACTCCAACATAGGGGGCAGGGAGAATTCCAAAATCCACTGAGTAGTGTTATGGTTATTGTTCAGCCCCCAAAAGACGCTAAGGATTTAACTCAGACTGAAGGCTCTGGATACCCCATCCAGCACGGCTGCCTGCATACCACCAGGAAACGTGCCACTGTTGACAGCCAGAGCGCGTCCCACATGGAGCTACCTGGAGCAATGATGCCAGTGCTCCCGAACCCCAGCGTCACTCTTGAGTCTGGCTTTGCCCGGGAAGTCTCGAAACAATCCCTTCCAGTTCCGAATTCAGAGCAGCCGGCAGCTGGTTCGTGGATGTTGATATTGGTCAAGTCTTCTTTTTTTTTGGGTTGGCGCTTTTATTTGTTAAGATCTTTTCGGGTGGATATGATGGAAAATAGTTATCCAACTCCAACAGGTTAAGTCAGATTGGGATGCTTCTCAACTGACTACCGCGTACTCATAATTTTCAATGGCTCCCAGGCAGATTCAATGCCCATGCCCTCGGGCAATTCCGTTCGGAGTGATGGTCCCCGCCATGGGCGCAGCAGTTCAGAGCGATCCTGGGCACGCCTGGGGCCTGTAGGACAGGTGGCACCTTTCAATGATGGCACCGGTTATTCGAAACAAGTGAGACATATTTGTACTCCTTATTCACTTTTTACGATTTCGTTCTAGCACCACATGATATTTTATAATATTATATGTGTGTTCTCGCTTCTACTTGTATCTTATGGAGAGGGAAATCGGAGGAACCATGCCGGTAAATGTGACAATATTTGGGTATATTTGGTGTTTTCGTGTGACCAGAAGAATAGCATTCCCCGGCTTTGCGAACCGCTCCAGGAGCTGACTTTGAGTCTGAGGATATGATGGAGCAGCCCAGCTTTGTGGACGACCCCTCGCAGTCCCCGCGGCCCAGCTCGCACGTCTCCTTGCAGTCCCCGCAGCCCAGTGCGGGCCCAGGGCGCTCAGCTAGCAATCCCGTGATCATTCATCAGGAGCAGCCCCCTCCAAGATCCAACGAGGCGGGGCGGAGCACCTTCCCGTTGACCATCAAAGGCCCAAAAAATCTGACACAATGATTCTGATTAAAAAAGGCATGGGTACGAACAACCTCTACTTAGTAACAAACCTAAAAATGGGTGAAGCTTTCAAGCAGTCGACTCTTCTGTTGAATTTTGGGATCTTCGCATATTCTGTTTTTTGTCCAAGGCCCAGGCTTTCCGGTTGACGATGATTACATCATATTTTATTCCCGAATGCGTAGCAAGGGTTCCCGTTTCACTCTGGGGGTTTGGGGTTGAGGGTGTGTTCGCTCGACGTTGCGTGTACGTCCGCAACCGTCCGCAACCGTCCGCAACCGTCTGCAACCGTTCGCAACCAATCGCAACCGTCCGCAACCGTCCGCAACCGTCCGCAACCGTCCGCGTGAGGACCATATGGCCGTGCCTATGGTAAGTTCTGCAGAGGTGGTCATTTTTGGAGGTTTCAAACTTCTCGTTGTTTCGTTTCGCGTGGCAGGCGTGGCACTTCGTGACATGCAGACGTGTTTTGTAACGTGTCGAAAGTGGTTTTGTGTGGCAGGCGCAATACTTTTGCGACATTTTCAGAAGATTCGTTGCAGTTTTAGTGGCAGGCGCAACACTTTGGACGTGTCCATCGTCATTTTGCGTGGCAGGTGCAGCACTTTAGACGTGTCGTGTTGCGTTTTTTTTTGCAAATCGCGTTGGCAGGGCTGCGTCAAGTGGCGACAAGGTGCAGATTCCGTGGCAGGCGTGGCATTTTGTGAGATGGGATGAAAATTGACGGAAGCCTCGCACGAAACATCGATTTTGAGGTAGCGATTCTGAGGCTGCAAGTGTCAAAATTGGAGGAAGTCTCGCATGAAATGCTCGTTTTGCTGCTCCCACGTGTCTCGTCTCGAGTCTCTGGTTTTCCTGTGGCTTCGCCGTGTCTATGGGGGAAGCTGCAAAACCTGTCCTTTTGGCATGTTGCCAAATGTGAAAATTGGAGGAAGTCTCGCATGAAATGCTCGTTTTGATGCTCCTACGTGTCTCGTCTCGAATCTCTAATTTTCCTGTGGCCTCGCCGTGTCTATGGGGGAAGCTGCAAAACTTTTCCTTTTCGAAGGTTTTGAAGCAGGTTGTCATGTCGTTTTGCGTGGCAGGCGTGGCACTTTGTGACATTCCAACCTGTTTTATACCGTGTCGAAAGTGTCAAAATTGGAGGAAGTCTCGCACGAAATGCTCGTTTTTCTGCACCCACGTGTCGCCTCTCGAGTGTCTGGTGTTCCTGTGGCGTCGCCGTGTCTATGGGGGAAGCTGCAAAACCTCTCCTTTTCGAAGGTTTTCAAGCAGGTTGTCATGTCGTCTTGCGTGGAGGGCGTGGCACTTTGTGACATTCCAACCTATTTGCTAACGTTTCGAAAATGTCAAACTTGGAGGAAGTCTGAAATGCTCGTTTTGCTGCTCCCACGTGTCTCGTCTCGAGCCTCTGGTTTTCCTGTGACCTCGCCGTGTCTATAGGGAAGCTGCAAAACATCTCCTTTTCGAATGTTTCCAAGCAGGTTGTCATGTCGTTTTGCGTGGCACGCCTGGCACTTTGTGACATTCCAACCTGTTTTATACAATCCACACTTCACACTCCACACTCTACACTCCCAACTCCCCACTTTACACTCCACACTTTACACTGTACACTCCACACTTTACACTCTACACTTCACACTTTACACTGTACACTCCTCACTCCTCACTCCACGCTTCACTCTCGACACTTTACACTCCACACTCCTTACCTTACACTCCACACTCCACACTCCACACTCCACACTCTACACTTTCCACTCCACACTCCACACTCTACACTTTACACCCCACACCCACACTTTACACTCTACACTTTCCACTCCACACTCCACACTCTACACTTTACACTCTACACTCCACACTTTACACTTTACACTGTGCACTCCTCACTCCACACTTCACACTTTACACTCCACAATTCTTACTTTACACCCCACACTCCACACTCCACACTCCACACTGTACACTTTACACTCCACACTCCACACTCTACACGTTACACTTTACACTCCACACTCCACACTCCAAACTCTACACTTTACACTCCACACCCCACACTCTACACTTTACACTTTACACTCTACACTCCACAGTTTACACTTTACACTTTACACTTTGCACTGTGCACTCGTCACTCCACACTTTACACTCCTCACTCCACACTCCACACTCTACACTCCACACTCCTCACTCCACACTGCACACTCTACACTTTACACACTCCACACTCCACACTTTACACTCCACACTCCACACTCCGTACTTTACACTCCACACTCCACACTCTACACTTTCCACTCCACACTCCACACTTTACACTCCAAACTCTACACTTTACACTTTACACTACATTTTACACTCTACACTCCGCACTATACACTCCTCACTCCTCACTTTACACTCCAACACTTTACACTCCACACTTTACACTCTACACTTTACTCTCTACACTTCCCACTCTACACTGCACATTCCTCACTCCACACTGTACGCTTTACACTCCACACTTTACACTCCACACTCTACACTTTCCACTCCACACTCCACACTCTACACTTTCCACTCCACACTCTACACTCCACGCTCCACACTCTACACTTTACACTCTACACTTTACATTTCACACTCCACACTTTACACTCCTCACACCACACTCCTCACTCCACACTTTACACTCCACACTTTACACTCTACACTCCGCACTCCTCACTTTACACCCCACGCTCCACGCTCCACACTCCACACTCCTCACTCCTCAATCCTCACTCCACACTCCACACTTTACACTCCACACTCTACACTTTACACTCCACACTCTACACTTTACACTTTGCACTCTACACTTTTCATTCTACACTCTACAATCTCTACACTCCACACTTTACACTTTACACTGTACACTCCTCACTCCACACTTTAAACTCCTCTTTCCACACTCCACACTCTACACTCCACATTCCTCACTCCAGACTCCACACTCTACACTTTACACACTCCAGACTCCACACTTTGCACTCCACATTCCTTACTTCACACTCCGCACTCCAAACTCCACACTCTACACTTTCCACTCCACACTTCACACCCTACACTTTACACTCTACACTCCACACTTTACACTTTACACTCCTCACTCCACACTTTACACTCCACACTCGACACTTTACACTACACACTCTACACTTTACACTCTTTTCTTTACACTCTACACTCTACACTCCACACCTTACACTTTACATTGTACACCCCTCACTCCACACTTCACACCCTACACTTTCCACTCCACACTCTACACCCCACACACTACACCTTACTCTCCACACTTTACACTTTACACTCTATACTCCACACTCTACACTCCTTACTTTACACTCCACACTTTACACTTTACACTCTACACTCCACACTCTACACTCCACACTTTACAGTCTTCACTCAGCATTCTACACTTTACAGTTTCCACTCCAGGCTCCACACTCCACACTTTACACTCTACACTTTACACTCTGCACTCCACACTCTACACTTTACACTTTAAATGTACAAGGCTGTGTAAATAAACTGTTTAAGAAAAGTGTTCTGCATGACTGCATTTCCATGTGTTTCGACATCATCACCATTAACATACGTGTGAGCATTCGGGTTCGTGGGCTGCATCTTGTTTTTTCTCCGCAGGTACCACTGCCAGCATCTAGGCCGCGAAATTAAAAAAATCTCTGCAGGTGGCAGGCCCCAACGCCTCCGCCAAACGTGAGCAACTTGAGCGAAAACAATCGGTGAGCTTTTTGGAGAAGGAAACCCCGGGCCTGGCCGTGTCCAATAAAGCCTCCTTGCCAAGCTCCGCTGGGAGCAGACGGAAATCAGCGGAACTCTCCAGAGTGCCCTGCTGCGAATGAATCGACTGGCGAATTCTTGGGCATACGGAGGAATATTAGAGAGGATCCCACCCAACGTTCACATCTTTTCTTGGGGTACTATGGGCTACTTGCAAGTCATGGATATTCATGGTACGTCCCCGATCTGTCATTTATTTCCCAAGGAATTTTGTTAAAATTGAGGCCGTCTCCACGGGAAACCTCACAGAAGTCTTCAAGGTCAAGGAGAAGGAGCCTTGCCAATCCGTCGAGTACCAGAATCCCATAAAATTCTAAGAACTCCTCTCCCCAAATCTGTGAGTTTTTTTTAGCTCCCCATGTTCAGAGCTTCCGGAGATGTTTTGGGCTCATGTCATCAATTTGTTTTCTTCTTGCGGACCCTCCACTCAGTTGCAGCGCCTAGAAAAAGATTAGGTGAAGTCCGAAAAAAATAGAGACCATGGGATATCCAAAAAAGAGGGCAAACAATGCTTGGGGTATATTCAAATTCATGGTGTGTTTTTCGCAGAATTCCGAATGATGGCCATGTCATGTCCATGATGGGCTTCCAATGATCTTGTATCCTCAGTTGGGTAGGACCCAGGTGATTAATTAGGGCTGATTCAAGGGATGGGCACCCCGCTATATTGATAATCTTCTGTTGAAATATGGAGCCCCCAATGCAAGCACCGTGGTTCATGAATCTGCAGTTGACATCGCATCCGAAGATTTGTTCGCTCTTTTGTGTTGTAGAGTCTTCATCTTCGTGCGGCTTTGGCAACAAGGAACTCACAGCGGATCTTCAATCTCCGGGTGGTCAGAGGGTCAACAGCAAGAAAATACCGACAGAGAGTATACGAGAAGCACCGTGCTTCGGACGATATGTTTTGGCTCAACATCATGTTGGAGCTGGAATGATGGGACAAGATATGACAAGACACCAATCAAACGGAGGAGAGAAGATTTTCTTGGGGCTGTTTTCAAGGACTTTGTGTCAACATTTCATCTCTACTTGGAAGTTCCACATGCAGAAGCACGCACACACACACACATTCACCTACTTTGTGGATATATATATATACACAATTCATTTATACGTTGACTCATCCTTGCATACATAGACCCAGTTGTGAGTTGCACGCCCAGGCAGACTACCCCAGCGATGAGTAGCGATGAGGGGATCTTCTCCAAATCACGTTTTTTTTTCCTTCTCCTTTTGATTGGCAACGTTCAATGCAACTCATTGAAGTCCTCAAGGGAGCTGAAGGGCCATTGGAATAGGCATGCCCTCCAATTTGTTGGGACATCATTCCTGAGGCACCGCCCCAGCACTTCCCGCTGACAAATCCTTTCCATTCTAAGACTCCCCACCCATCCGGAGCAGTTCAGCCAAACGCCATTTCCTAGCATTTGTGCTGTCCCCAAGTGCTTCCCCGCGTCTTTCAAAGAGTCTAGTCTTCCGATACTGACTCCATTGCAGGATGTACGGACAACTTCTTTCTTGTAGCCAGCAGGGGAACATAAATCACTTCACTCAGTGAATGAACGAGGATGGGATTCAATGCGTATCTCATGAGTTCTTTCAGTCATGCACAATGAGGTCGCCCTTGGAACAGGTCGAACTGTCTTCAGTTCAGTCAAGTGCCTCACATTGGGCAGTGAGAGGAGTTTGAGTAGTCACTGCAGTGACCTCGTAGCAGTTTGCTTAGAATTAAATTCCAACCACAAGAGAAGCACGTTTGTGTTGATTTGGCCCTAGATTTTTACGAACCATTTTGTGGCTCTTGTTGGGAGATTGGACCTAAACCACTCAACCAACTGCCTTCGTGTTTCCAGGTACTGACAGCGAAGAAGAGCAGGAAACTGAGAAAGCCGGGCACCCAGAATGGACTGCATCATGTAATAAACCTGCCATTCCATGGCCATAAATGGAACAAGGTCGTCATGCAGGATATTCATTTGCACGCATACACATACACATACACACATACACATACACATACTCATACACATACACATACGCATACACATACATCCATACATACATGGATACATGGATACATGGATACGTGGATACAGAGATACATAGATACATCGATACATAGATACATAGAGACACAGAGACACAGAGACATAGACACATAGACACATAGACACATGGAGACATAGAGATATAAAGACATAGAGACATAGAGACATAGAGACATAGATACATAGATAGATGGATGGATGGATGGATCGATGGATGGATGGATGGATAGATTGATAGATAGATAGATACACAAATAAATACAGAAATAATAAAAACAAAACATACATACATAGACTATAGATTAATAAATTTACGCACAATTTGGTCGTTCATTCATTCGTTCTATTCCGTTCCGTTGTGTTTGGTTCTGTTCCGTTCATTGTTTTGTTCCTTCCTTTATTCATTTATAAGGGGGTTCCTAAAATCAGGGTACCCCAAAATGGATGGTTTATGGGAACACCCATTGAAATGGATGATAATGGATGATTTTGGGGCACCCAAATTTATGGAAACCCTCCTATTATTCTTCATTGATTGTTTAAGTTTTGGTACCAAACCAAAGCCGCAACGTTTCCGAGGCAAGCGCAGATGACCAGCTAACCGTATCCAGAAGCAACCGATGGTGGCTGAAACTGAACTTCCTCAGCAACTTCTTGGCGCCTTGGTGGATTTGGGGATGCTACTGATTCAGAGGCACCCAATGCCTGACATGATTTGGAGATATCGTCATTGCAAAAGAACCGTTCAACCAACCCAAGTGATTTTTGCTGCCTGGTGATTGTCAACAAAGGTGCTGCACGCATCAAAAGCATTGGGTCATGGCGGCATTTGCTTCAGGTTTTGTTTTTTCTTCGAGACAGCTAGGGCTTCAGGTTTATGAGGTCTATGAGTGGCCCAAAGCCTGGAGGATGTGTTTGGCGGGCCAAAACTATGAGACCCTCAGCGACCTGGAATTTGTCGTGATGAATCGTTTAAGTACCCCACCCCCCCTCACACACCCCCCCGTCACCCACCTATATACCCCACCCACCCCCGCCCACTCACCACCGCTTGCCCGCCCGCCCGCACGTTTCGACGCATGTCTCGTACGCACATCTCGCACGCGCGCACATCTACTCTGCAGAACGGCCGAGGTCTCATCCCCATGTTTGGATTTGAAACTGATGGCGAGCACTTGGGGTGGCGCTGGTGGAAGAGACGCAGTTACGAAACCCTGTGCCCTGGCTGCACAGGCGATGGAGAAATGGGACCAAACATGGGGAAAACGCTGCAACATGATGCTGTATATGGCCATGTGGCGAATGTGGGCGAATATGATGAAGCATGAGACGATAGATTCCAAACACTTGGTAAAGAATTGAAGGAACCCAGAAAATAGCATCCAATCTGGAATGTCGCCCGTGAATTTCACATGGAACCAGCCAAGGGCTATTCCAATAGCAATAGCATCTCCAGGTCCCAATTTTCACTTGTCATCGGGATGTTTTTTTAAGAACCGCCTGCAGGATTCCAAGTTTTTTTCTGATCAAATGTAGTTTTGGAGTTTGCGTTTCCATGTGGTTCGCTAAAATTGCCTACCATACCGTAGCTGAAAATTGCCGATGTCAAGATATTGATGTCTATTTTGGATAGTCTCACCGTTTTTATTACCTTCTATAAAAAGCGGGGGCTGTACGCCAACTCCTTGATTGAACAACATAGAGCACGATGCTTTCTTTGGCTTGTGGTCTAACACCTATTTCATTTGTTTGTTGTTCACGATGAATCGCAACAATTCCATCTATTTCCATCTCCTCAAGATTTACCAGCCCCATTTTCAAGCGACAAAGTTAGAAACATGAAACGCAAGCCTCTCTTCGGAAGCCGGGTCCTAAGCGCCCTGAAACCGTGGAGTCCCTGGGGGGGTCCCAAGGTCGCGGCTTTACCATTGGTTTATCCTGGTCTTCCTGCTCCTTGGCGTCATCAGCTTGGCCATGGACCTGAACTTCTGCCATTTGAAGGCCTGGAAAGGTGGAAGGGCGGAAGGTCTGGTGAATCCGATGGCAATAGTGATGCACATACACGCTATATCATCATCATCATCATCATCATCATCATCATCATCATCATCATCATCATCATCATCATCACGCTATATCATCATCATCATCATCATCAACATCATCATCATCATCATCAACACGCTATATCATCATCATCAT